CGAGGGGTTTCTACAAGGGCATGTCCATGCCGGTCACCACCGTGTCCCTCAGCTCCTCGGTGGTGTTCGGGACCTACAGGAACGTCCTCCAGTGTCTGGGTCAGCTGCGGCACGGGACGGTGGACGTTCGACCGGCCAAGCTGGATATCTTCCTCTCGGGTCTCGCCGGAGGGGTTGCGCAGGTATGGGACCAGCGACTTGGGCTGAGTATTGTGGATGGATGAGAGCGGTCACAGACCCTTGGTCCTAATTTGACTGGATGTCAAACATCCCCCCGAAACCACTAGCCGATTGTAGGCTATTTCTATTCTATTTCTGTTTCTAGGCCTATTTCTTAACTATTTCTTCACCTTTTTTAGCATTTAAATCTGCAGTACCAGCTGAACAGGTATCGCTAAATATCTCCCAGTGCTGGGACAGTTCAGTGCTTATAAAATGAGCAAATCAGCATTTGTATAATTACTGATGATTCTATTTGATTCTATAATTTGATGTCATCATGAATTACTTTGCATACGATTCATGAAGGTATAATTGAAGTATTACCATAAAGTATAGCTGCACTATTACACTACTGACCTGAGTGAATTGAGATATATCGTACGCAATACTCTGTCTATACTTTACCTTTAATTCCACAAGGTGTCGGTGATGTCCCCGGCGGACATTGTGAAGGTGCGTCTGCAGTGCCAGGTGGTTCCCACGCAGGCGCTCGCCGCCGGCGCTCCGAAGGCCAAGTACCGGGGGCCGGTGCACTGCCTGCTGACCATCGCCCGGGAGGAGGGCGTCCTGGGGCTGTACAAGGGAGCCCAGGCGTTGGCTCTGAGAGACGGCCCCGCCTTCGCCACCTACTTCACCACCTACAATATGATCTGTGAGCAGCTGTCCGTCCCGGGCCAGACCAGGCCAGGTACAATTAAAGCGCCGTTTTACCCCCGTACTATGTAAAGTCAGTCAATTAACTTTCTGAATTTTGTCTTTTTACCTGACGGAGTGAAAAAATCTGCCGGCCAAGGAATTTGGTTTTAATAGGTAACCCTGAATTTGTGTACCTGCCAAGTGGTCAAATCTATCTATCCACCATTACCTAGTAGCAGGTGTTACTTTTGGACCCGGTGTACAGTGCATTCAGAACGTAATTTGGGACTGCTTCACTTTTTCCACTTTTTTTTTTCCCTCTTCATGTTGTGTATATATTACATAATATGTAACAGTATATGTTATAGCCTTAGTCTAAAATGGATTTGTGAGATGGTTTGTATTGCAAGATGAAATTCTTCAGTTTGTTGTCTTAATGAATTGGCAACCTTTTAGAAAAAAACAGTTCTTGCTTTTGGGATTCTTATGGGCTTCTGTTGGTCCATTAATGAGGAAAAATGTAATCCATTTTAGAATATGTGGAAAATGAAGAGAACATGTGGGAAAAAGTAAAGGGTATACGTGTCAAGAGATGGCTAACCTCTCTCACAACGCCCACTGTGCTATTGAATAACTCGCACTCTACAAGTTGTCCTTCATTTAAAAGTTGAAAGTGTCCGTTGTATTGCTCCAAGATCTCCCACTTAAAGTAATTAAAGGTGCCTCCCTTCAGAGTGGAAGGTGGTCCTGCTGGCGGGCGGGCTATCCGGCATGTGTGGCTGGTGCGTGGGGACGCCCATGGACGTGATCAAGGCTCGTCTCCAGATGGACTGGATGGGGGACAGGAAGTACCGGGGCTTTTTCCACTGCATCACAGACAGCGTACGCACGGAGGGGGCCGGCGTGCTCTACAAGGGTCTGGGGCTCAACTGCGTACGTGCCTTTCCGGTCAACATGTCCGTGTTCGCCATGTACGAAGCGGTGATCCGCCTGCTCAGACCCTCAACCTAGCGCTTCCAGAGAGCTGTTCGGGTCTAAGCGGGGTTTCCCATCGCTGTAAGTGGACCATTCTTTTTGAATTTGCGGTGTTTCAAAAAAAAAAAAAGATCTTGCGTTATACATACATGTATATGTATATTAGGATGGGTGTATTTTCTTAGTCAGTATGTTTGTTACTGGTGTAGGCCTACATATCATGATCACTTTTATCTCAAGACTTGAAATTATGATGTATTTAAAAAACGACATTTTAATGACATCAGTTAATGTTAACTGTATTTCTTAAATACTTGAAATGTGAATGATTTAGCTTTTATTTTATAGATCTTAACAGAAATGGTCTTCAATAGACATTTTCCAATGCCAAGCATAATTGTTACTCAAGTTTTAAAGCCTCTATGAGGAGTTCTGGTCACAAAAACCACATTTCCCATGAGCTCCTTTGGCTTTCGGTCCATGTACATGCGTACTCTCAGGTATGCAAATGCTGTGAAATGGAGTAGAATAGCTGTTTTAATTTTATTTCTACATGCCAATATTCCAACCTACATAAACTCCAGGTAGGGCCTTTAACTATGACTTGCATTGTGTTGATTAACTTCATTTTCACAAGTTGCGATTATGTATGTGTTCGTAAGGCAGC